ACAAATTCTCCTTTCGTGGTAATCCTAGAGTTACTAGAACTAAATTATTTTATACGTACCTACGGCTCGCCTATCTGCTACTTTTAATGGTCCAGTGAATAGGCTATCTCGCTCTTACAACTTAATTACTAACATTGATGAAAATATTGATACTGGATTTCAGTTATAAAAGCAGTGGTCGAGCTTACTTTTTCGTGGTACCAGACATAGACGTAACGTGTAATTATTATTATTAGTTCAAATAGTGCTTATCTATTATTTTAAAATAAATACAGAAATAGTAGATTTATTTGTTTTGTGTTAAGCAAAATTAAGGCAGATTAATGGCAAAAGTCGATCCCAACTCAGAGATCGTGTGTTGAATTTTGCAATTAAAGTGTTTAATTTTAAGAAACACATTCTCTTACAGTCTAACATCATGAGTATGTATGAGTATATCATTCAGGTATTAATCGTAAATATCGACGATATAGTAAAATAAAGATTATCAAAGAGACTGCAATCTGAAGCTAAGACTCATAAATTGGGGTTGGGTCACTGGAGTAATATTTACTTTATTAATAACAATAATATAATATTGGGTAAGCTTTGACGTTTATACCTGGACCAAATCCAGGAGGTACTAGAGAAGGGATAAATGAAAATACCCATAACCGAAGAGCATGGTGAATGTCATGAAAGTGGATGAAGCGAGAGATATGTCAGGACCGCTGCAAGTGGAGATCCAACGAACGAGGCGTGATGATATAAATAAAACAAAATATTGTTGCCTCCATAAATATTCCTCACGTAATGAAAACTGATGAGGAAGGTATATTATCTGATGTAAAATATCGCTAGTAATGTAGTATCATTAAATAAATTTAGACTTAGTTTAATTGCTTGCCATATAAAGATACTCATGTTGACTATGGCGCCTCCATTTTTTCCTTTGCCAGGCTGTCGGCCCTGCCTCAATCGAATCGTAATTTCAAAGGCTTTGGTACTAGTCGAGACAGTCACCGTATTGATTGATACAGTTAATGCACAGGTCCGGCCAGTAATAGGAAGTCAAAGTCGGAAGTTCGGTATTTTACAAAGAGAACCAGCCATGTCATCGTGCCAGCTGAAACTTTAAACTCATAAACAATATATGTTTTGAAGTTATTTTAAGTTTTGTTACCTATTTTTTAATGTTGACACGATCAAATGTACCTAATTGTTACCGCTGTCATAGTCAGTCATTCCTTAAAGTTAGGCTATTTAATAAATAATTAAAAGTCAAAAAGTCCAAATCATTTATTCATATTGGTAACTCAATGTATACTTATGAACGTCAAAAAAGAAATATACATTAAATGCTTCTAATTTTACATTTATTTTCAGTTATCAAATCAAGGGCGTAGAACGGAAGAGAAGAACTGGCAATAAACTCTCCGCCACTCTTTTTAATTGCCAAGTTTTTTTATTTTATGCAACGTTTGTTAGGAGTTGCAACCATTACACCATATGTTCCACATGACATCTTATGTAATAAATAATAATAAAATAAATTTAAAAAAAGATTTGTCTTCTATCAGAAGGAGGCATGGTGAAATGGGAGCAAGCACTTACATTCTCGTGGGACAACACGCAAAGTGATGGATTAGGCTAAGATGAATACTAACGGGAACTAATAAAGCTTCATTTCCTTAAGATTAATTTATTTAACATTTGGACAAATTAGCAGGCACTGAGGTTGAAATGCTTACCGCCGTCCGTGTACACTTGCAATGTATGAGATACGCTCGGGTATGTTGTCGGCCTTTAAAGAAATGATACGCACTTTTTGTGAGGGTCCTGAAGACATATCGGCATTATCGGCTTTCTTAAGATGTATTTTGTAATTATTATGAATATCAATGGTTATACGACGCGGCTATTAGTTTGACAGTAAATAAACTAAAATGGAATCTTAAAAACCTTAAAATATGTTAAAAACTGTATAAAATTATAAAATACAGTTTAAAATACTAGAATTTTAATCTGTGTCAAACCAAATCTGTTTATCAAATTAGCCAGTTATGAAAAACGGAATAATTGATAAATAAAGCGAGTTCTGATTTTAAATGAAAAACACTAAAATGTGTTCAGCTGGTGTCGGTAAATAAATACGACCTACTTACAATAATGTTGTATACGCTGTTTCAAAGTAGAGCGACAAAATAACAAACAATTAAGACGCAAAATTTATTCTCGTCATCGTTATTAACATATTACAAACACAATATACTTTTCATTCGACAAAGTTGCTGAGTAATCGAGTGATTAGTGAAACAAGCGGATGAAGAGCCGGTTACGATTGCTTTGGGATGTCGTTAAGGGACATTCGCTACTTATGTGCTTGCTTGTACTATACAGGACTGTAGAGGTGAATAAAGTAAATCCCCAGGGCCAGACACAGATCTACGTATGTTTCATCATTTAAATAGGTTTTTGTCGTGGACGTATTCCGCTTCGAAATGAAATGAAACTGTTCAAATGTGCATGAACAGTAAAACTGATCGACTGTAATAATATTTAGTATTCAAAACATTTAAGAAACTTGCCTGTATATACCGAGGGACCCAACACGGCTGTCCCTGCATGCTGCACCATGGCTATCAAACTATTTAATCACCTTCCTAGATGTTATAGATCACTGCCGTGTAATGCTTTCAAGGGGAAGGTGATTAAATTTTTAAAGGCAAGATGCCTTTATAGCGTGGGCGAGTATGTAGACCATGTTTGACACCTATTACAAATAACTTAACTTATTATTAAGACATTATATTAATCTTCTTATTAAATCTCTATATAAATAAATTCTCGTGTCACAATGTTCGTTCCTATACTCCTCCGAAAAGGCTCGACCGATTCTTAAGAAATTTTTATGCATATTCAGAAAGTCTGAGAATCGGCTACTATCTATCTCTCAAACCCCTAAGTGATAAGCCCAAAAAAATTTTTTTTTCTACATACAAAAATACATACAACCCTTAATTTTCACCCCTCTACGATCAACCCCTATTTTTTATTATTGACGATAGTTATTTTTATTGAACTAAAAAAATGTTTCCTAGAATTAATATACATGGCAATACAAACGTTTGCCGGGTCAGCTAGTGACAATATAAAAATTAATATGACATTTGCATGCCTATTTATATATTATGACTGATTGTGCGAGTTTTTATAATTAATCGTTCTAATTGTACCATTATCTTTGCAAATAAACGATTTATTATTATGCATCTGTCTCTCAGGTACTTATTTTTGTAGACAACGCGCCATCTGTGCCTGACACAGTAGATTTTTGAGTCTAAGGGTAAGGATTTCCCTATTTCTACTTATTAAGACCATTTTACAATGTTTACTTCCACCGGACGAGTAGGTAAGTCCTAATTTCGAATATACAAAAAAATATTCATTGGTATGATATCAATCAGGATATTTTTTTTTTTCACCGTATCAGCTTCATAGTATTCAAATTCACTATTTTAAATTTAATTTTAGCATGTAAAGCTTTATACTGTTAACGTTATGTATATATGTGTAAGAGCGACAGAGCTTCGGGCAGACATTGGATATTTCACAAGTACGTCTTTTACTATTCTTCTTTAGACTTTTACGTTATTAGAATTTCAATCCCACGATTAGCCACGAATGCGGATGGCGCTAGTTATTCTAATTAACTACCGGTATAAATTATAAAATAATGAGACATTTTTATAGAACCTAATAAGAAAAGTTTACTTGGGTCTCGTAAACGCAGGCATAATTAACCTAGAGAAAGCATTTTTCTTACCGACTATTATTTATTATATTACTTACATGCTATTATTTATTATATTATTACTTACTTACGTCCTTAAGACGTAGTAATATAATAAATTCAATGTTTTGCAAATCGGCTCTACGTAGGACAGAATTAATAAAATTAAACTGTTTGTTTATTAAATAAAGAACTGGGCTCACTGGACGTAAATTTAATTTAACTACGGCTCCCGTATGCCAATATATTTTTGCGTACGGGAATCCGACTGACTCGTTTCTGAAAATGTTTTATAGTCAAGCGCGTTAGTGTCGACATCTATAGACTAGCCAATGAAGCTATGTAGGTCGCTTTGGACGATGTTCATTGTTCTAAACTATCTTAACAGAATACTTATCATCAGCATGAACAATCTACTATGCCGTTTCGTTATTCTTAGTTAGTTTGGCTGTGTGTACACACAATGTTTAATGAGACTGAAAATCTACATCATTTAGTAAATTAAAATACTTTGTTTAAAATGAGTTACTAGTAAAAAATTGCGTCTAGTTTTACTAGACCTTTATATTGTTAAAGTCGAGCCAATTGGTAAATAAGTGTTGTAAAAAATAAAATACTTCACATTAGAAGTCACATAAATTCGCTCCTCGAAATCCCAGAGAGCTTCAGACTTATTAAGTTTTACTTTGTCTTACTTTTTTGTCCATTAAAAAAAAACATATGGCAAGCTTGAACACATTCATCTAATAAATCAGAACTAAAACTAAGTTTAAGCAATTGAAGTAGTATACTAGCGACATCTGTTGAATGAGATAGAAACTTCAAACTAGCTCTTGTACACTTAATAGAACCAGGTTGAATCCAATTACCAACTTGGCTGCTTACATAACAAGTTATAACTTGAGCTTAAAGCCAGATGGGGCTACATTGTTTGCCTCGGTTGCATAACTACAATCTAAGAGTTACATAATGTAAATTATGTCACTCTTTGTACAACATGAATATTACCTCATAACAATTGCATAAATTACATTAGTCAATGTTGAAATAAAACTATGATAACACATAAAACAATATGTTTATTATAATAACATCTTAGTGAAAGATTTAAAAGTCTGAAATAGCAAAAATTTGGTGCAAGAATTGGTATAGGGGGCACAAGTTGCCTTAACCTAGAACATGAAAAAATTACTATAACAGTATATATAACATATTGGAAAGTATGTGGTTAGTTTGTTACAGCCTCTTCAGTACTCTTTTTTTCAATGGAATCATTTTCTGGTTTTAATTTCTTTGGTTGAGGTCCATCGCAATCATTGTTAGATTCCTCTTTATAGAGTTCATTCAGATTGTACTTCTTATATGAGTAGTAGTTGTCAACAATACTAAGGAGGCAAATTCCTTTTATAATTTCAACAATTATACAGAGACCAGGGTTCTTTAAGTCTGCCTTATTACCATTGTTCTTCAGTACAATCAATTCAGCAAGCTCCTTGATGATTAAATCTCTGGATACACTACTATTAAACCTCTTGTTAAATATAACAGCAAATGTTGATGACTTCTTCAAGAAGAATTTATCGAAAAGTTTACCAGCACATTCCATTATATCAGGTAAATTGGCTTTACAAGTAGCCATGATGGGCAAGAATCGTAAGACATGCCGCGTCTTTTGCACTTTGGTGGTACATACATCCTTGATAATAGCTGTAGTTAATTCTTCAGGGCATGGTAGATTAGTCTTTATAAAAATGCAATTTGATGCTCCAGTCTCAACAACTTGAAATCGTTTGTGCTTAAGAGATTTCTGTGAATAACTCTTCATACAATCGACTTCCTGTTTGAGGAGGTCTCCTATATCAGTCTCACTCTCAGAATCACTGTCAGTTCGATCTTCTCGATCGGCTAATGCTACAGGTGGTGGGCCTTCAACTTCTGGATATAATTTACCTGCATATTCGTTGAGCAGGTTGTACATTTCCTTGACACAATCCTTCTCCCTGAAGTTACATGTGCAAAAGAAACCTCTAAAGCCGGGTTCTAAGAAATACTTGTTTCTTCGTTTACGAAAGTAAAACTTTTTCTTCTTACGCGTGTCACCCATTCTAAAGCACTGGAATACACGCCCTTTCTGAATGTGTTAATGGAAGAATAAAATGTGATATAACAATAATTATTACGTGAATCGAATTATGAAATCACATAACAACTAAGCTGTAAGTTCAATAGCGTTTCATTGCTCAATCCTCATTATTTTACGCTGTCAGCTGTCGTCTATCGCTGTCGGCTGTCATTGTGATAGTGACAGCTATTTAAGCAACTGTTTGCGCGCATTGGTATTTAGCAAACAGTCACGTTTAAACATAATAATAACAAATCGTGCGGGCCATTAAAAAAAAAACATAATAATAAATCATAATCGGCAATTATCAAATTTATTAGAATAACAACAACGACGTCATCGTTGGCAGGTCAATATATTACTAACAGACTATAATTCTATAAATACCTAATCTATCTAATATATAAAATTCTCGTGTCGCGGTATATGTGGTTAAACTCCTCCGAAACGGCTTGACCGATTCTCATGAAATTTTGTGTGCATATTGGGTATAACTGAGAATCGGACAACATCTATTTTTCATCCCCCTAAATGTTAAGGGTAGTCCACCGCTAAATTATAATTTTTAGATAATAATAATCTTTTGAAAAAAAAATTATGATACAAGCATTAAAAAATACATACAACCCTAATTTTCACCCCTCTACGATCAACCCCTATTTTTTATTATATATGATATACACGGCAAAACGACGTTTGCCGGATCAGCTAGTAATTCTATATAGATCGCTTTCCTTTGGATACTATCGGTCGAGGAACCTTATTATTACTTATTAGATTCATTATACTTTATTGGGCTTTTTACCTTATTTAACAAAATTGTGCTTATTACGAAATGTTATCAATAGATGCATAAGGCGACCTTTAAATTTAACATAGCTTTAAATCTATGCAGGAAATTAAAAGAAATCAAAAAATATTTCTTTATAATATATTAAAATCAAACAATGTGTTCTTACAATTCAATCCTTATTGCTAATTTGAATACTATTAATACTAATACTTTTGGAAATTCATCTTTTTAACTTAAACTTTATGGATGTGAACAATATTTGGTTTTCATTATCGTTGGAAGGTTAGCCACCACTGGTTTCTTGAGCTTCGGACAGACGGTTATACTGAAAGTTAATAAGTTAAATATAATATTATTTATTTAATAATATATCACACGGTCAAATATGAATCACTCAGGGGGTTTATTAAGAAAATGTGTTTAACTATACTTATCATAGGTATTCTTATAATTCTTATTGATATTGCATAAAATTTTTTGAATATAATTTTGACCCCATTAGTTAAAATGTCTTCTTGAGTCTTTATCTTTATCTTAGAAACTTTATCAAGAAAATGGTTTAACTGATCTTGAAACTAGATTTATTTCAAGTTTAAGAATACAGCCACATAATATGTCTGTTTTTATTAACTAAATAATTAGTTTGGGTGTTCTTTCTACCACTAGCAATTAATTATTTTCAAATATAACCGCGGTTATATATATTTTTATACTTACTCAGTATTATATTCCAACGAAGACACTTTAATATATTCGATGTAGAGACTGGAGGATTTAAGTAAACGCCACGTCATGGGGTTTAGGAAACTAGCTTCATACTTCCACTCCACCTTGACTGTGAGAGGTGGAAGACCTGTGTCCTTAAAAGCTATCAGTTTCGTATCGACATCACCAGGTCTGTAGTATTTCCTAAAAATAAAGTTGATTTAGAGAGTTAATTAACATCTTTTTATAAGAAACATTGCCTACCCTGAAAAATTCAATTTTGTTAAATGCATGCACGCAGGTACGCGCGTGCATGTTCGCTTGATCTCCCTTTAAAGCCTTACTACTTACTCGTAGCTATACGTACAGATACCGGTAAACTTCTTGAGCATTAAAGAAGGGAGTTGGGGAAAGTTTTCGCATCATACACATACACACACACAAACGTCAACTGATTTATCAATCACGCGATCGGTACGTCACTCTCCCGCCGCCGAGTTATACTCGTGAACGGGTGCTACTTGTGGTGACTGGTCGGATTTGAATTCGTGTATGCGGTGATGTTAGTTATTTCGACTATGATTTACGTGTTGTTCCCACGAGAAAGTAAGTACGTGCTCCTATTTCACCATGCCTACTGCTGATAGACGACAAATCATTGTTTTTTATTTTTTATTAACTATTTATTACTTAAAGATGTCAAGTGGAACAAGGTGTAATGGTTGCAGCTCCTTACATATATTTTGTAAGAAACTTGGCGATTAAAAAGAGTGGCGGAGAGTTTATTATAGGTAACAAAGTTTTTTGTGTTATACTTCTTTAGGCGCGTTATGAAAATTTGATGAGAGTGAAATTTTACGATGCGCGCGCACCTATGACACAAAATTCGGAGTGTGATTATAGCGTGCGCAATCTACAAAAGAAATAGAATATAAGCTAACTTCACGCATATTCTATTTCTTAGCTTAGCAGCTTAACAAGAATTTTGAATATCCATGACAATTGACATCTGACAATGACATTTACCTTTTAAACAAATATAGGAGTTTGAATTATTGTTTAAAATAAAAGATTCTAAAAGTACCTAGTTATTTTCATTATACAAGTGCGAATTTTATATGTGCGTCTGAATTATAATCAGAAATTGAATATCTAAATCAATACTAATTAATATGATAAAATATTTGTGAAAAAACTGTGCCAACCTTCCTGAGTGCTTCAATACAATTGAGGTTAACTATCCGTATGTATTATCGAGTATTATTGTTGATTAAAACTGAAACATGAACTTAATTAACTTTTGTTTATTGCGTTTTGTTACAGCAACTTTTTAGAAATATTCTACGACCCTATATATCAATAATTGAGAACAAAGATTTAAGCACGAATACTAATAAGGAGAAAATGAAGGCTTGGAGCGATATTACAGAGAAGTAAACATTTTAATAAGTACCTGCATCTCAAAAAAATGATTACATTATTTAATCAAAACATGTAATTTTTCAGATTTAATCTAGCAAATATAAGGACAAGAGACAAAAAACAATTTCAGTGGAAGTGCACTAAATTGAATAAAAAAAGAGTTGTCATCTTATCGCCGTGAAACTTCAAAAACAAGAGGTGGAACAAAGCCACCATCACCTTCTCCAGACACAATGGATATGGCAGAGATGATACCGCAACGGTTTGAAGTAGATTTCAATGAATTTGATTGTGATGGTGTCGAGGTAGGAATGTTAATTATAAATATGATGGTGATGTTCAAGGCTCAACCTCTCAAGCATAGGCACATACTTTATTCCCCTACAGGGTAGTTAGAGATATTGTAATACCTCAAAACATCCATGTTGCTCTTGTAGTACCGAAACTCTGTCCAGCCAGAAGTGAGCCCATTCCCACTTATAATGGACAGTGGGTATAATACACCTTAATACCTGAGTGCGAACCACTCACCATGACACTTAAATTAATAGATGTTATTTATATATTTCAGGATATTACAAATAAAATCATTTTGGAAACAATTGCTATCCCAAAAGCAAATAAAGCCAACAATGACAAGGTAATAAATCAGTTTTGACATAACTTGAATACTAAAAAAGCCAAACAAAGGTGTGCACAACAGTGACAACATAACTTAACAATTTCATTATTTTGTAGGATTAAAGAAAGGTTAAAGAAAATCATGTCGAACTGATCAACAAGAATCCCCAAACAACTCAAAAGAAACCTACAAGGAAGACACCGGTATTATATTTAAATTATCTCTATCTCTAAATAGAATAAAAGAAAGTTGCTATCCAGGTCTGTAGCATGTGCAACAAATTATATTATTAACACATTTATATAATTATATTAATATAAATGTGTTAAAAATTTTATAATATGAATTATAAAATTTTTTTATTTTGTAAGAGAATAATTATAAATATTTATTTATTAAATTTTTCAAATGTAAACTGAACTTTATTGACTATAATGACTCCTTTTCCAGTCTTTGATTATTTAATTATAATTAATTATTTGCATGCAATCAAAATCTATTTCTAATAATGCCAAAGAAGTATAACTTCTTACGCGCGTACATAAGTACACGCACCCTTTTTGTGTTATATATTATTAATGTATTTATTTCAGCGGAGATTACCTGCTATCTATATAAGAACTCTTATTTACAATTTAAAAAAAAAGTAAAAAAACACTACTTACTGTTCATCATTCAAAAATCGATGGTCACTTTTGTTGTTATTCCTATCTATTAGGGTTATTAATATTTTTCCAACATCTGGTCCGTGAATTTTGCTCTCCGTTGAATTTGATACTTTTAACGTAACTTCGTAGTGGACTCCTGAGGGACAAAATTTTTAAACATTAAAATAAACTCTGTGCGAGATCTGTGGGAGTGCTAAATTACTTTTTATGTTGAAAATACTGTTACGTCATTAGATATTTGACAGTTTGTTAATAAATAAAATGACTGATAAGAATTTTAGTTCGCATTTTTCTTTCCGCACAGATTTTAGAACCTAACTGGTAATATTACCAGTGCCATTTCGTTAATTCATAAATTTGATAGAACATTCTTGAACTGTTTTATCTTATTAGTAAATAATATTCCTACCAAATCATTTTCATATTAAAAATATAAAAATTAATAAACTCTTAAATTTACATTGTAATTTTTTTTTAATCTTCTTTTCCACAGGTACTTCTTATTGTTTGGCCCTGTACATCAGTTTGTAAGAGTGTATAAAAAAGTAATAAAATAATTCCAGAATTCACTTCTTGTGTATTAATTTACACGATTATTAGTAGGTATACAAATAAATTCAGTTAATTAAATTTCATTTAACATAATTAACTGAGATCGACCTAAGAACGTAAATTTCCTCAGGTTGTTTTTGCAAAAGAGTTTAAATTGATTATAATTATTTAATTATTATAAATATTTGAATAATTCAAGCATTCATCGTTCAAAAACTTC